GGAGCTGTACTGGGGAAGTTACTTAGTCTGGGACATGGAGAGCCCATTGAGATGTTCCCACTAACTGAATGTCTCGCTCAGGACAGAACTCATGGTCTGCAGAGAAGTGCCTGCTTGGGTTGTCTGCTAATTAATTCTGAACACTTGGATAGCGATGTGGTTTCTTGTGCACCAATTCCAAAGCCTGACTGCTACTAGGCAGAGGGAAAGGGATCTTGTGCCACCCTGCTTGTTTTACCTACGCGACCATGGTGATGTTGTCCAACATTGCTTGGATACAGACTGAATGCATGAGCAGGAGAAAGGCCCACACACTTGTTCTGGGTTTGACTACCAGGTTAAAATTATGATGACCCTGGAGAGAATAGTCACTCTGGTGTTTATGTGGTCCTCATCTGGCAAGCAGCATAAATGAAGTCTGACAAATGGTGTTACAAGTACATGTGGCCTAGCAGAGAAAGCATACATTGCCCATTGACTAAAATGTTTGGGGGGGGGTGAGGGGTGCAGAAAAGAGTGGGAGGAAAGCTCTTGCTGAAACTGGAGTCCAGTGTCGCTCTGATAAAGTATATCTCTGTGCTGTCAAAGTGAACTTTTCTTTGTTCATGAAAACACTGCACTTCGCCAGAAGATGAAGCAGGAACAAAGTCACTCACCTGACTCTGTGGCTGGAGTGACCTACTACTTGGAGCTAATCATCAAAATATGGGAAAACAAACTGACATCTCAGATGGGCTGCCACCCATCAGTGAATACTCTGAGCACTATTGCTAATGCAAAAGGGAAGGACTCCAAACTAGTAATGTTTCCTGACTAACCAGGAACTGAAGCAATTCTGTAGGACAGATTAATATCTACATTAAAATAGGTGTCCTTCATATTGAGAAGGACGAACCACATTCACATCTTGTGGGGGGGGATTATTGATGCTAGTGTTACCAACCTGAATTTGAATAAGATGTTCAGTTGTCAGAGGGTCCCAGGTCCCAAAAGGATCTCCACCCTGCATCTCTTTTGGAGACTAAGTAGCATGGGAAATAGTAACCCTCTCCCTTGATACTGAGGTGGTACTTGTTCTATTGCCCCTTAATGAAGAAAAAAAATCTGCATCCTGGCAAAGAATCTCCTTGTGAGAGTGGTTCCTGAAGGGGAGTGTGTGAGGAGGGAAGAGAAATTTGATGGTGTAACCATGGTGGATAATTTTTAGCAGCCAACTGTCTGTCATGACAGAGTCCCACTTGTAGGCAAAAAATGAGATTATGAGATTGCTCGCAAAACAGTTGGATCTCGCTCACCTTCCCGTTCTGTATATTTCAACAGTGCCAGTTGTGGATGTCCAGGCAATGGCAAAATAGGATTCCTGCACCAATCCTGGCTGTTTAGAGTAGGGCTCTCATGGTCCCAATTATTGCCAGTATGATGGATCAACTGACAGAGGAGGACCTCATGGCATGAGCCCATACCACCTTTTTCCTGTCCAATCTTATCTGGGGCTCCTTTGTCATGTCACTGCCTGATGTCACACAGACTTCTGTGGGGCCTAAGACTCATCCAAAGAAAAAGCCATATCACTCATCTCCAGCAGTACTGACGGTTGCATCTTAAGGTTGGCAGGTGGGATAGGAGAACAACTCTATATAATAGGACAGTCCCTTCATCTGTTGTAAGATTAGAGTCTGTCCCAATAGGAGGGATTGGATTGAGCAAAGATGTCCGCTCAGGAAATGGAGGTCTCAGATCACCCTGGGGTACAATGAGAATCCACTGGCATGGCCGTCAGTACTGGAGCTTCCCTGGTCATCATGGCAGTTGGCTTCCTCTGGGGCTGTGTCATACTGGTAGTGCATTGGCTGTAGAAGTGGATGGGACCACCAGGAGGTATTTATCCCAAACCTCCTTTGTACCAACTTTGTACTCCCAACTTTGGCTGAGTCAGGGAGAGAGCCTCTTTCTTCGGTGCAGTTTTAAATTAAGATGGTTTGTCCTTATGTTTATGAGAGTGCTCCCAGCACTCCTGTGATACCTTCTCCTTAGGCTTCACAATCTTAGCCTCTGATTCCCAAGTTTGTGCTAGGAGGGGCTCTGCCTGCTTTATGAGACTGATGGGGGAATGAGGGGAGGTCACCCCGGCACAGCTTTGATTGGAGACTCATTGCCTTCTCCATGAGATTTTCTGAGTCTCAGTTCCTGACCTTCACGAGTTCTGGGGTGAAAGAGTAGCAGATGCACATATTTCTCGCAAGTGCGTCCTCACCCAGGCAATAGAGGCAGCATTGATGTTCGTCACTCACTGAAATGAATGAGGACAGGAAACAGTTTCTGAACCCTGTGTGTGCATAATTCTAGACTGGAAAGGTGTCAGCCTGCACCACCTTTTATGCTCTTGGTTTGGAGCATGAGGAGAGCTGTGGCACATGTGCAAGCCAGACAGACTCTACATCCAGGTGCAGGGGGCACATGCATATCCCATATGTGGAATTCACATAGGAACCATCATTTGAAGAACAAGCTATATTAACTCATATAAAAACTATTGAGACTATATAAAAAAGAAGTTGGAGAAATCTGTGGACACTGGATTCTGATTCTGGCCACGCACTGGTAAGAAGAAACTGCAGAGGCATTGGCCAGCACTGCCTCTTATGCCCTAAGACTAGAGCACAAGGAAGGCAACTGCGCATATGTGGGCCAATAGACACTGCTTGTTACGAATCTCCAGACCCGGGTGCATGATGTGCATGCATACCCATGTGTGGAATACACATAGGGACCAGCACCCAAAGAAGAGCTGACTATTGCAACTGTCATAAGATCATATTGTACCATTGTACACACTTTCAAAGGTCATTTCTGAGGTTGGAAAAAGCAGAGTCAAACAGCTGAATGTGACCCAGAATGTAAGCGAACTTCCTCCTACTGCTGGGGATACCCCCCTTTCCCATTTTTTCCTCCTTGACTTCACTTACTGCTGGGTGAATTCTGTGCACGCTGAAAACGTGTCCCCTCACCGATTTCTTTGCTTCCCTGCAGAAAGCGATGGGGAAGCAAAGGGAAGCCACATTGGAGCCAGTTACTTTTTTAACAGGCCTGGGAATGCCCATGGGTATAGTTTGTGGAGGGGTAGGGGGAGAAGAAGAGGCATGAGGGAAGGAAGGGGGGGTAGAATAGGGGCAGGAGAGGCATGGGAAGAAAAGGGGACAGGGGAACCTGAGGGGGGAGCAGGAGCTCTGCATGCGGTGTCCCCTCAGCACCATCAGCATCTGGGGCTTCCCCATTAAGCAGGCCCACCAAACCCTCACTCCGACAAGCCCCACCTACCCTGCATCTGGACCACCCCGATGAGCACCCCCACTCCCAACCAGCTGCACCTGGACCTCCACTCCTCCTGAACTGGGTCCCCCCTGCTGAACCCCCTCTATCCAGACCTCCCCACTGAGCCCTATCCCCCCCACACTCCTGCAGAGTCCCACTGTCCCTGCATCCGGAACCCCAGAACGAACCCGTGTATCCAGATTCCCCCACTGAGCTGCCCGCAGCCAGACTGCCCCACATAGAAACCTCTCACCCCACATTTCCCGCACTAAGCCCCACTACATTTGGATTCTGCTGGGCTCAGCCTGCCTGCTCACACCTGGTGCATCTGGCACAGCGGGGCAGGGCTCCAGGGTGTTTCTGGGGTGTGGCAGGTCTAGCCCTTGTGTGCAACAGGGTTGGGTGCAGTCGAGTCCCTGTCCCCGGGGGTCGGGAGATGTGCGCACACATGCAGGATGATCTCCCACTTCCATGCAGCCAGTGGCCTGTGCTCCCCACTGCCATGCTGGAGCCTCCGCATTTGTTTATTGACAAATACAATTTGCACAATTTTAAAATATTGTGTGAAAAAATTTGTTGGTGCAGAATTCCCTCAGCAGTACTTCACTTAATCTGCTATTTGAGCTACTACTGATATTGGAGAAAATACCCTCTTCCCTCTGATAATGTTCCATTTACTAGGTACTTTAATTCTTGAAGTGCTCAACTTTTGGTTTCAGCTCCTCTACTGGTTGGTTCAATTATATTGAAGTATAGAGTGGAAGCATTTCATACAAAACTTCACATTTAAGTTTCCCATTTGAGGTGAAAAGTTGGTATTTCTGCAGTTCCTCAGTTTTGTTAAAATACATTTTAAAATATTCAAATATTGACAATACACTAGGAAACAAGACATTTAAATTATTAAGACAAACCAATCTTCCTTAAAGCAAATGTATGATTTGATGAGGATATTTTCTACTGCATTTCTCTTTGCTGCTACACAATGAGCAGGTTAACACTAGTAAAAGTTTCACTAGTTCTCCACTTTTACTCTTCACTTTCTCAAACTGCACTACCCTCAGTGTTACTGATCATTATACTAGCCAGACAAAGGTTGTTGGGACAGCAGCACTAATGACTCCTTCCTCTCAATGTATACACAAATAAACCATAATAAATTACTGTTTTGTGCGGATTCAGAAAGTTTCTCATTTCACTCTACTGCTTGTGTTTGAAGCAGCCATTTATGCCTACCCTACAATTCTTTTCCCTTGATGCTAATAGAAGGAGGCAGGGAAGCCAAGCTAACAAATATGGTATCAATAGTTGTACTGACATGGGAGACAAAAGTAAACAGGCTTAAGTTTGGTTTTTGTCCAAAACAAATAAGGAGATGGGGGGGAAGTGTTCAATACGGAGGGGCACAAAAGGAGAGGGAAACAGTTACTGTGTTTTAGATAACAGTTAAAAAAATACACACACATATTGCAATTGCCCTTTAATATTAAAATTAAATAAATTCCTAACAATTACAATCACTAGCAGAGGATCTCAACACTGGGTACTCTTAAACACGCATGTAGTAATTGTGCAAAAAATAGGACTAGATTAAAGATATGGCAGCTTTAACAGATTTCCTTAGTATAATGAGTACTATTTTACTATAGTTAAATAGAAGTCTTTTTTCCCCGAAGAGAATGTCTTACCTTTTGCTGCCCCTGCACGGATGTGCTGTGTTGCTGCAACTCTAACTCCATTAATCCTATTGCTCAATCTGCTGTCAGTTTTCTTTATTTTATCCCTATGTAGGTAAAATGAAAGAATATTTTTCAAAGGTAGTTTTAGCAAAGATAACCAAGTATACTACAAAAGGTATATAATATTGCTTTTATTTGCACTAGAATATTTACTTATGACCTCAACTGTGCTTATCAGTGAACACAGTACCCTACAGAAGTCAATATTGGGATATATCATTGGTCAAAATTGCAACCCGTGTTATTCAGTATATTTAGTAAAGACAAACGAGAAAACAGATGGGAAGTTGGAGTTAGCATTAAAGTTTCTTCAGGTAAGTAACAGAAATATAGCAGAGGCACATACCAGATGGTCTTACAAGCATTCACGTGGTAGACAGCAAAATGGCATATGATTTCAACTTATATGTATATATAACAATACAAAATAGTGCAACTGGCTTAAATTTTTCACATTGACGGGCTACCAGCTTACAGAAACAGCTGAAGTAATGGTTAATTTAAAGACATCCATCCTCACCAAATTACTGTACGCTAAGCAATGTCAGATTGAGGAACATTTTAATGAAGTGTCCTGGATAATTTTACAGCCTCTAACTTTCACACTGTTAAGAAAAAGGAAATTCCATATCCGTTCAGGATATAGATGAAGTCCACTTTCGACAACAAAACAGTGGAGATGTACACACTGAAATGCTCCTTCCGCCGATGTAACTCCCTTGCTATGCGGACATAATAATGCCACCTTGACGAGAGGGCAAAGCTTATGTCAGTGCAGTTAGGGCAACGCAGTGTCTGTAGACACTGCGTTCCTTACACTGGCTGTTGGCTGTCATTCTTGTCAATTTCATAGCTCCAGGGGATGCTGCTGGGTCTCCACTCCAAGCTGGGCTGCCCCTCAGGCTCCTGGTTTGGGCTGCTGCCTGAGTACCCTGCTGGAAGCCCTGCTGTCCACTGAGGTCCTGGCTCCCTGCCATGAGCACAACAGCCAACTGCACTCTGGGTGTCTGTCTCCCTACAGGAGGCAAGAAGCCCCTGGCAGCTGCCTCCGGCTCACAGCAAAGAAGCCCTAGGAGGCAGCTACGCTCCTGGTGGGAAGCTGTGCAGAGCTGAGAGCCCTGGCTCTCAGTCCCCCACACTACCCCTCTTCAGTTGATGGAAGTGCTCCTGGTAAGGAGACACCACTGATAGGAGGTTAGCGTGGACATCAGCCACCACAATAATTAATGTAGTGTCTGTAAGTCGACTTAACAGATTGATTTAACATCGTAGTGTAGACATAGCCTAATTCTTTGTCCTTCCTCCATCCCTTACACATTTGGCTAAGTTGCAATTTTGTGACAGATCTCAAAAAAGTGTTTGTAAATGTTAGCTTCTCTTCATATGGAAGAATTAGCTTCTCTTTATACAGATCTATTATTAATTATATTCTTCTTAAATTACAAGAAGGAGTTATGGATTTGTATGTTTATGAGACTCACAACATGCCTGCCTATCATCATCATGCAATTCCAGGCTGAAGCAAATGGATGAAAAAGGAACAGCATCCAATGTATCCTTGTATTTACTTACAAAAAGGCAATCATTAAAAAAAAATCTGCATACCTACATTTGACAGAATCCATTTTAAAACCTAGATCTTCAAGACAGAATGAAGCTCAAAACAGTCAGTCAAAAGAGGGAATCAAATTTTAAGAAATTGCTGGAAATAAGGTACAAATCCTCAAATCTCAATGTTAATGGAAACCAAACACTTAGATTAACCATGGATTAACCACATTTTCACTGAGTACATGCATTATATTTAAGTCCTTAGTTACTAGTTGTGAAATTAAAACCTACTTTTCCAGTTGTGGCTTTCCTTTCTTCTTGTTTATTGCAGATAAGCCCCATTTCTCTCCAGCATGCTACAGAACAAATACCATGATGGTAGTCAGAAAATAAAACTCAACAAGAACCAAGCAAAATTTACATTTACATCTCGTATTGGACAAAAGTATGAAGTTCACATAAAGTTTAAATAAAAATTCTTCAGAGGTAGAAATCTCAATAGTCTTTCCCCATTTACAGTTGATGGCAAAGGCTCCTAGGTGCTACAGTATTATGGTAACAAGCATCTTTCTAGAAATCCAAAAGCATTGTATAATGTTTTCTTAATTTAGAATTGCCAGGAATGACATTCATGTGGTCTGCCTTGGCTGAATGGTACTAGCCAATGACTTAATGGGATAAGCATGAGACAGTAAATAAATATATATATTTAATACTATACTAGAGCAGGTTAAACCTGCTCTAGTATAGTATTTAATGTTTACTCTCTCATGCTTATATCCTATTAAGTCAAGAAGTTGAAAAAGTTAGTGGATTGTAAGATTTATAGAATGTTACTTTGAAGGAAACATTAGTTCACTGTGTATTTTGAAAGACCCACAAAGCTGTTCTTTTGGCTTGCAATATTGCTATATTTGTCAATACCCAACTTCGTATGAATGATGAAAAATAAATGTAATTCCATTTATTGAGATATACCATAGTAAGTATTAGTTACTACATACAAAAATTTTTCAGAAACAATGCAGATGACTCATGAAAAGTTTAAGTACGTGTAACTATCTACCAATTTAGTTCTTCCACTTCTCCAGAAATTATTTCAAACAAGAGTAACTATTATAGAATTGCACTAATATCAAGGCGATGGAAACTGAATAGCCACAAATAAATGTCACTACAATTGTTTTTCAGCAAAAGATAATAGCATTTTAGTTGCATATACAACGCAGGTGTGATACAATGGATACAAACGAAGTGTTAAGTGCCCTCAGTTGAGCCATTTTAAATAGTTGCTCTAGGCTGCTGTTTGCAACTAGGCAAAAAATGATCCTCAAGTTTTGAATCGTCTTCAGTGAGAACCCATTAAAATAAGCTGTTCTCTGTAGGAAACTGAGTGGAACTGAATATTGACTTTTCCGCTCAGATCTCTCTCATTAGGACATTTTAATTATGGAAATTTAATACATGGCTGTTAGTAAGGAAGTAGTAAGAATTATACAAAAAGTTAGAGGAGGGTTGCTGTAAGTCATGTAGTCACTAACAAGTTCAACTTAAACAGTTTCAAGAATTAATACTGTAATGTGCATAACTAGCCTTGAAGTGAAATTTAATGGTGAGCTCTGGGTAATATCCTCACCTACCATTATGAAATAAATGAAAGCCACTCACCTGATCAAGTAAGTTTGTACAGTGCTCTGGATGCTGTTGAACAGTGCAGTTTTTTCTTCTCCAATCCACTACCCCATTCTGTTCAGAGTGTTTTATGTTAAGGCCATCCAGTGAAGAACATTTTGTACTGCTAGTGCTGGTGAAAAACACAAGTATAAAAAACTTCTGAGATTTCCATAACAGCATGCCCAATTTTGTAGCATATTGGGAAGATAGGTGTTTTCAAAATAATTAAAATCTCTTTCTCAATAGATCTCTAGTTGGAACATGTTTTGTGTGTATTTATTTTTAAACACACAAAAATGGCTGTAAGCTAGATCAACATTAAAATTTACTTTACTTAACAGGCAATTATATACTAGGAATACTTATGGAGTGTGTACATGTGTGGTAGTGTTACTACTGGGGGAATTCTGCACCACTGCGCATGTGCAGCATTTATGTTCCCTGAAGATTTCTTTGCATCCCTGCAGAAAAATGACCAACAGTGAAGCAAAGGGAAGTCACAAAAGCAGTCATGCAACCTTCCCCAGCAGTATATTCTGGGTGTCAGGACAGCCAGCAGAGAGGTAAATCACTGTGGGGCAGGAGGCAGGACTGGGGAAGACCTGGCTGGCGGCTCCTACCCTGCGCCTGGCTCACCTGCTAGTCCTGGCTGGGCTGGGGAGAACAGGACTTCCTCTTCCCCTGCACAGAATCTGGGGCTGGGTAAGACCCACCCCCAGATTTCTCCCCTGGCTGCAAGAAGCTCTGCCAACTCCCCCAACCCCCATCCCGCTTCCTGCACCCATCACTCCTCAGCTGCAGGGGGAGGGACCCCTGTACAAGCAGCTGCTTCCCCATCGGCCCAATCCCCATGCATCCAGACCCCCTACCCGCATACTCTCACTTTCCTGTCAAGCCTCCCCTCCCCCAGACTCAGAACCCACATCATGAACCCCACTCCCCCTGAACCTGGACCACCCCAATGACCCATCTGCACCTAGATCCCCAACCAGCTGAGACCCACTTTCCCAGCATCTGGATCTCCCAGTGAGCCCCACCCCACAGAGTTCTATCCCCCCTACACCCAGACCCCACCTACTGAGCCCCAAACACCTTCACTTGGACCCGTCCTGCACAGTCCCATTACTGTTGCACCCAGAACCCTGCAACAAGCCCCTGTGCATCCAGATCCCCCCCACACACACCTGGATCCCCCACTGAGCTGCCCGCACACAGAACGCTTTCAACCCACACTGGGAGCCCCTCCACACTTGGATCCTGCCTTGCTGAGCCTGCCTGCCCACATGAATGGACAGGGCCCTTGGGTGTCTCTGGGGCAGGCCCAATCCTTATGCTGTGTCAGGGTTGGGTGCAGCCTCACTGCTGAGTCCAAGTCCCAGGCGAGGGAACGGGGGGTGGGGGAGGTGGAAAGAGCTGAACAGTGAGCTCCCACCTCTGTGCAGCCAGTGGCCTGTGATCCCAGATGCCATGCTGGAGCCTTCACATTTGACAAATAAAATTTGCAGAATTTTAAAATATTGTGCACAGAATGCCCTCAGGAGTATAAATGTGTTCTGTTAGAGAGAGAGTGATTTCTAAAGAACCCTAAATTGTTATATTATCTATTATATGTAGATAAGCCCTTACGTTACACAAAATTTAGGATATTTACAAACTCACAAATCCTAATAGCTCATAGAAATGTTTCACGATTCATTTCCTTTTTTCACACTTAAAAAGGGAAAGTGGTTAAACAGCAGTTTTCTAGATCTAGATTTTTTTTAAACTTGTTTTCCTTCTCCTCTAAACTTCAAAAACGTTGAAAAAGTGACTACATACTTCAAAAATATATACAAGAAAATTAGAAAAAGCTGTGTAGGACTATCTACAAACCACATTTGTGCTCATTTCTACAACCATGTAGCAGAATTTAAAACTATCCCTTTGGTTGCATATTCTCTGTCCCCACACTAACTACTTCTGAAGAGTGCTGAGAAATCTAAACCAGTGTTCTGCATTTACTTTGGACCTCAATGCCTTCCACTCAAACCACATGTGGCAATAGTCAGCCCGATTGATTTATAACTAAGTACAGACACATTGATCAGCATGGACTCTCGTAACAAGATTTCTGATGGGGGTCACCAGGCCATATGGACCTATAATCCACCCTTCATCTGTCATCCACAGATGTGCCCCACTCTTGACTAAGAACAAAAAAAAAAAACAATAAAGTGTCTTATACATTTATAACCAATTTTTTTCTATATGACTTTTTGCTTTTAAATACATTTTATAATTAATTGTTCTTGCCAGCTTCATGAAAATACTGCAATACAAAATACTTTTTTTTTTTTTTTTTTTTGGTTAACAGAACCTTCATCTTACATATCCAATAGGTTTAGTTTAGCCCTAATTGATTAGGTCTACAGACAAAGGTGTGGCATGGAACAAGTTATAGTTTCCAGAGTAAGAAAGAAGGAAATTTAGATGGAGCATGATGAGAGATATATGCATTGTGACAAAGTTCCTCCTCTGCCTTGGTGGGTCCAGCACTTATTGGTGGATTTTCTCGCCTCATAGGTTCACAGCAGCCCTCAGTTTAGCCACTTTCATGGCTCAAATCTACCGTTCACTCAGTTAGCCTCATCACTGGCCAGCACGGGGAAAGGAAGAAGAAAAATCCCCGCAGTCTCTGCTGATCCACCTAGTGGATCGGGGAACAGGCCAGAGACCTTCCCCTCTGGTGGAACCCACAGTCCAGTTCGACTCCTCCGGTATCATGGAGGGATGGGGGAACCCGGGCCCATCCTCTACTCAGGGTTCCAGCCCAGGGCCCTGTGGATTGCAGCTGTCTACAGTGGCTCCTGTAACAGCTGTGTGACTGCTACAACTGGGATACTTCCCCATGGCCTCCTCCCAAAACCTTCTTTATTCTCATCACAGGACCTTCCTCCTGATGTCTGATAATGCTTGTACTTCTCAGTCTTCCAGTAGTATGCCTTCTCACTCTCAGCTCCTCGCACACACCACAAACTGAAGTGAGCTCCTTTTTAAAACCCAGGTGCCCTGATTAGCCTGCCTTAATTGATTCTAGCAGCTTCTTGATTGGCTGCAGGTGTTCTAATCAGCCTGTCTGCCTTAATTGTTTCCAGAAAGTTCCCGATTGTTCTGGAACCTTCCATTACCTTACCTAGGGAAAAGGGACTACTTAACCTGGGGCTAATATAGCTGCCTTCTATCACTCTCCTGTAGCCATCTGGCCCAACCCTGTCACAGTATGTATGTATGCAAAATGGAAAATTAGCTTCTCTACTTACTCTGTGCCAGGAGCCACAGAATTTAAGATACATATTGATACTTACGCTAGATATTTTGCAGTTTCTGGTTTTGCTAGATTTTTTTTGGTCAAGATGCTATAAAAGGTATATATAGAAATGACGAAGAACAAAATGGCAGGCTATAAAGCACCTTGCATACAGATTTTCTGGGAAAGCAAAGCTGCTGTAAAAAGATCATTATATATAAATGCTGTAAGTCTTGATACTAAGATGGCTGAACCAGAGTGCCAGGCATTAAACAAGGATATTGGAAACTTGGTGTAATGAAGATAATTAATAGTACACAACACAATATATATAGGAATCAGAGTCACATATAAAAAAATATATTATTATTGGAAAAATACAGAGAATGGCAACAAAAATGATTAGGGGTATGGAACATCCTCCATATAAGGAGAGATTAAAAAGGACTGTTGGAAAAGAGAAAAGCTTGGAAAAAAGAGACAACTAAGGAGGGATATGATAGGGGTCTATAAAATCATGAATAGTGTGGAAAAAACACTTCCTTATGCACTATTTACCCCTTTACATAAACACAAGAAGTAGGAGTCACAATGAAATTTAGAAACAGCAAGTTTAAAACATATGGAAGTACTACTTTACACAACACAGTCAAGCTGTGGAACTCATTAACAGGGAATGTTGTGAAGGTCAAAAATATAACTGTCCAAAAAAATCAGATGAGTTCATGGAGGATAGCTCCATCAATGACTATTAGCCAAGATGGTCAATGATGCAATCCCATGATCCAGGTATCCCTAAACCTCCAACTGCTTGAAGCTTGGACTCGACAACAGGGAATGGATCACTCAATTGTCCTGTCCTTTTCATTCCCTCTGAAGCATCTGGCATTGGCCACTATCAGACAACAATACTAGGCTAGATGGACCATTGGTCTGACCCAGTATGGCCATTCTTTGAGTAAATACCTTCCACAAAATTTCTGAATAGGCTTATTGTTAGTATTCCTCATTAATAATTCAAGGACTAAAATATACATGGAAAGCATATCTAAGATTTTTTTAAACTGCGCTGGCAGTAAAAAGGTGTTTACATTTACAATGGCCATAAACAAAAGTTAACACTTCAACGCTTTAGTTGATGGGCTATTGTAGGAATATAGTAACTATACTTCCCCCATAGGAAAAATCTGAAAAGCCACACAAGAGGGATGATTCAACAATATGAGGAATTACTGAATTACCCGGGGCTGGGGGGAGGTGTGTGTATGGAGTCTTGTACGCCAACTATGTAAGTATTCAATATGTGATTGTCTGATTTATGCCAGAAAAGTTGTGAATCTTTACTGGTAACAGACTTGGCCCCTACTGGGCAAGGGCCTAATCTTGGGGAAAAAGAAAGCTAGTTTGTGGTTATGATGTTCTGTATGCTCCCTGAATAACAATGCCATTTTTTGTAAGACCATCCCAAAATTCTTTGGAACCAGCTAGTTATCTTTCAAATCTCATTCCCAAGGCTTAATACCAAGGAACATGGATTACCTTTGGAAAAGAAATGTATGAGTTACCTGATGTACATGTTAGGCAACTACATTTTTTAAAAACATGTTTTAGGAAGAATTATCCAGGGATGTCTTCCAACTGAACTACTTTCTTCTTAAAGTTTTAATATTAGGACAACTTAATATACCTTAAGACAGTTTGAAAAAGCCTTGATCGAAAAGGAAACTTACATGTCCCTAAAGTTTCAAGCAACTAATAAATATGAATTTATTTAAGTTTGACTTTAAAGTAGACATGCTAGTTTTGCAAACCTTAATACCTACTTGGCAACAGGACTTTTCCCATTATGTTTTTTGTGGACTGATGTGTGCTGCATTACATCTGGGGGGGAAAAAAAACACAAATCAGCAATTCCAATAGTAACAATTGTTTCTATTACAAGTCAATCCAGGAAAATAACCCAACCAGTAAAGGTTCTCGACTATATTTCACTGAATGTTTTGGTAGTGACAGGAAAGACAAATGCTACTATAAATACAGATCCCAGTTTTACAATCTGATCCACATGAGAGGACCCCGTACACTTGCACAGAACGCCACTCAAGTCAACAAACAATGCATGGAAGCAGGGGTCATTTGACATGGTTCAGATGGCTGGACTGGGGACCTTCATCCTGTTTCCCAGAAAAGTTACAAAAATAGCAAAAAGCACACAGAGAAGTGAACACTTCATAAGCAACTGGGATTATTTTCTCACCAACAGACTAACCATAGGTGCCCTGGTTGGGTCAGCAGATGTTGCCAGATTTAGCTTAATGGAATAGGGGAAAAAAAAACAAACAAAAAAACCCACCACAGTCAAATCAAAATGAAAAATGGAAATCTGTTTCCTTTCTCCAACTCCTGGATATTGCCCCAGAAGGTTAATAAGGTACTGGTAGGTGATGAACTGCTGAATGAGTAAGTTCCTGCATTGATATAATGCATTTAGAATCTGAGATTAGTTACAATTTAAGCCAACCTTAAAAATAATAGCATGTAGATGTGGAAAAATGTTCATTATTTTTAACCGTAAGTCCTTGGAGCAGTGACCTTGTCTTTTTACCTCTCTGAAGTACAGTATATTTATTATACTGCCAAAAGTAAAATTTCCCCAGGCCAACTGCTGCTGATTTTTGGCTTCTAAGTAACATCTTTGACTCCTTTGCTATTATTTCTGGGTTTTTCGATTTCTCTTTTGAAAGTTGCTATCATTTGCCTCAACTCCCTTAAAGATGCAGTTCAGAACAAGATCAAAATAGAGATCCAACTAGAAGCCTGAAGGCAGAGTGAGAATTGGACTTATTTGGAAAGTACAAAGTTTAAAAGCATTATCAAAGTTTACTCAAATGGCATTAAGCATGTACTCAAATGCATCTGAAATTTTAAAGTGGAAAAAGTTCTCATTTAAGGACAATATAAAGACAATTTGAACTATTTTCAAATGCATTCCAGAGTTTTCTTACTGTTATGTGTTTTAAGATAAATCAGTGCAATGGGTGGCATTTTCTTTCGAGAACAGAAAAAAGCTTTTCTGAATTGCATATAGTTTTCCAGTGGTAGAAGATATTGTCTCTGCCTTGAAGGGAACAAAATTTGATACAAATCAACCAACCCTGGCATTTACAGTACAGAACTTTAAGAATCCCATTTTGCCAATGCATTGCAACAGAAACACAATGCGAGGATCCACTGGATAATGTATCTCCTTAACAGGGACCTGACCAAATAGCTTACTGGATATAACTGGTTGATAAAAGGAAGAGATACTTTGAAAAAGTGCTATTTTGTATTACCGCAGTACTATGGTGAAATAGCTAAAATTAAAGATAGTAACATTTCTACTAAAGGAGCAAGCAACCTATTGTGAGCTCTTATGAAACTGGAGGTTAAACAGGAATGTAGTCTTCTTGTCTCTTTAGCATTCCTACCTGATAGCCCACGCTGCTGCTGTCTTTTTTCACATTTCTTTATTTGAAAAGAGATTCAGAAAAGTTGCATCCAAAAGTACATCACACTCCACCTTGCATATCAGCATAAGAGGATAGGAATGGTAACAGTGTGTGCTAACAAAGAGTATGGTTTAACAGTCCTTTGTGTTGCATGCCCTCCTTTGCCTATCGAAAAGTCAAACTCGCGTACTGCTCAAATGATGCAAAACTGGCTTGGCATTCCTTTCAAAATGAGACTACTTATCCACTGGGCTAGTACATCCCATCAAAACTGTACCTGAGAAGTACCAGCTTCCATATCTGGAGTTCATTACCAAGATCAGAAGGATTAGAATCACTGTTAGTAACTGGCCACAATGCTACAGAAGTGCAGCTTTGGGACAAAACTAGAGGAATGAAGTATTTCCACAGAGAGGATCTTCATATTTAAGATGTTTTATAAATAAGTGTCAACTAAACAAACTGAAACAACACACTCAACATTAACCTGGTCGTAAAAAATAGGTAGACACATGAGAGAGTCAAATATCTGTGTGTCCATGTACTAACAAAAACCCCCACAACTCTTCCTAGCTGCTCAACCCAGCCTCTCCAAACAACTCAAAAAGCAACCACACCTCCAAAGCCTTCCGAGTCACAAATGTAATGACCGTATTAGGTTACTGAAAGCGCGCAGTAACAAAAGTTAAAATTTATATAGCAACTTTCATCCAAAGTTTTCAGCACTTTACAAGAGGTAGAAGTCAGTCAAATACATCATTTCTGTGACTATCAGCCTGGTAAAAATTTTACTCATTAATAGAACCTTTGAATATATGAATACCTTCCTCCTGACTTGAAGCCTCTGAACTGTCCTCCTTGAAGTGTTCTGATGCCTTAGCTGTCTTCAAAGAGGGTTGTAAGTTACCTGCAGAGAATAAGTTTTATGTAGTTTTCTAGGAAGATATTACAGCAACTAACTCAGGGCAAAAAGTTAGCTTCTGCAAGAGATACAGAAAACTAGAAGTTAAAGAAAAAGTGTGTGTGCGTGCGCACACACGCATGTGAGAGAGATAAATTGGGGGTTTTATACCAACTTAAAGATACCATCTTAATTTTATCTAGTTGAATAGCAGGTGAAGTTATGTGCAAATATCATTAAAACCAAAAAAGCATACTTTACACAGGTTTGCCAGTGCAATAAAAGCACTCAGCACATATTATAAATGAATTTAAGAAGTTGTGTTTCCTTGCGGTTCTAACACCTTAAAACTCCAATATGACATCAATATGAACTATACCAAGAACATACTCTCAAGACATCAAACCCTTCCAGGGCTGGCCATTTTGAGAGGAGGAGTGAACGAGTGTGCCATTTTAAAACTATGGTGCAGTTTTGACTGTTGGAGATTGTTTGAAGAGGGTTAAACAAACTACTTTAAAATCTCTTTGAAATGGGTTTAAATGCATTTTTGCAAGTTTTGAGTTATTTCTTAATCCTTTCACAATTATAGGTGAAGGTAATGTGGCATTAACTATAGTTGTCTGCCTAATACTTTCCACTGCAAGACCTCATTTGCAGTTACTTAGAATAGCCAAGCCAGCCACCAAGGCTAAAATTTTCTATACCAGGTATCTGCCTTGAGGTTGCCTTTTTTGCTGTCTGCTTCGGGGTGGGGTGGGGTGGGGGGGGAGAATTGGCAAAAACATTTTTTCCCTATGTTAAAAGAAATTCTAACCGTTGTTTTGTTGAGAAACAAAAGTACTCTCATGCTTTGGAACAGGAAATCTGACGGGGTGTTTGCTCTGGAATCATGGATTTTCCTTGACAGGAAAACACAATGAAGATTTGGCTGAATAATAAGTCTTTGGAAACTGTTTGCACATGTGGAGTAGAGGCTTATGGGAAGTAGCAACAAAATTTTCCTGAACACTGTCGATATTGAGCAAGCTTTTCCCCCAAAGCACAATCCAGGCTGGGGCTGAGTAGGCCTTCTGCTGCAGTTGCTTCTCCAGTCTGCTGGGAGGGGGTCGCTGTGACACTGGGAACCAGGACTGAGAGCTAGTAGACCATCTCACTGCTGGTGCCCAGGCATTGTGGACGACTGCTCACTGAATGGTTAGCAATTCAATATATTTACCCTCTATGCCTGGCCCTAAGCCTTATTTACTACACACCATTCAAAACTTTCCTTGAATGCAAATTTATTAAAATTTCCTCATGGGCTTTATGGTGTTTATCCCTATTACATAGGAGTGCTTCACAAACAGTTTATCTTCAAAACAGCCCTGTGATGCAAGATATTCAGTTACTCAACTGTAGACTGAGGGTCTAAGGCAGAGATTCAGGCCAAGATTGTCAAACATGTCCACTAATGTTATTATAGCACTTCAGATGTTCAAAGCACAACTCCTATTGACTTCAGTTGCAAATAATCAGCACTTCTGCAAGTCAAAGCATGGGTGTCTGAAATAGGGCACCCAGAAAAACAGTCACCAGTTAGTTTTGGTTTAAATAATTTTTCCAGCGTAACACAGGAACTACGGGGGGCAGGGGGACAGGAAGAGGAGAGAGAGAACGAACACACTTCTTCAGAGTGGCGCTCAACTGCTTTAACCACAAGACTAACCTTTTGCTTCCTGCAGTACCCTGCCTCATTGGCAACTTAACTTCAAACTTCCGCAACAACTGAGGCAGTAGTCTAGCCCCCCCCAAACCACCACCACGCAAACATGGCCCACCCTGTGCAACGAATGCAGCAGGGTGTCCTTTGGAAAAAGGCGCGATGATATACCTGTATCCTAATGCACTTGCACCAGGGGGCAAAGTGAAGGCTGCATGACCAACATATGCTGCATAACAGATTTCCGACCCGGGAAATCTACTGCAGGATACACATTTGTCAGGGTGGGAGCCCAAAAGAGACTGGACAAGATCCAACACCTTTTGAAGATCAATTTGCCCCAACATTTACACAGTTGGTGCAAATCCTACTTTAAGCACTAAAGCATCCAGCAGCGAGGCATCTAGCAAAACATGAGGAATAGAGATAAGAAACTGCAGCTGATCTGAAGTCAGCCCAGTTGAATCCATAAATATTTTGTTTGAAGTCTATGAAGGTGTTTGTCATTCACTTTACAGGGCTGATCAACATGATATCAGCCTTGTTACAGAAGGCTTCAGAAAGGGTAGTAAAGATGATTAATGTACAAATTAATAATTTACAATAAGTTAATATTTTTCCCTTGTGCCTTGCAGTCCCCTTTACTCAATCTCTACAAATATATGGAAAGGTCTGCACATTATGCACTAGTTTGCATACTTGCATGGGAGGAAAAAAGATTTCCCTCCCAAAAGGCAGGATCAACCACTGACTGATGAGACTCAAAGCAAAGAGTATGATTCAGTTTTGAACACGCCTACAGTGGTCCTCTTGATAGAGGGGAAGCCAGGCCATAAATAGGTGAGATTCTATGGGGTACCCAAAATCAGGAAGCCCCAAATTGCTAAACACACTAAGTGTTGCCAACCTGCTAGAAACTCAAAGAAGGCAAAGAATATTCTACAGCATCTTCACAATCTCATTCTAGATTTGTATTCTTGAGCAGGGGGCAGTGAATAGTCACTTCTACAATGGATAAAAGTAACTTGGTGGCAGGAAGAAAGTCTTAAAGCTTCTTCGTATTATACAAAAGAATATTTAGAAATTTCTTACTGTGAGTGTGCAAAGATTCTGATGAAATTGACTGGAAGAAGTTGTACACTCTCTGACTCTGCAGAAATACCTGTGATGTATTTGAAAATAGCTGCCTGAAATAAAACAGAGTTTTCAGTTATTTTAAAGACATTAGTTTTTAACGTTAAACCATATGTCATTTAAAACCATCCTAAATTAACCATGAAATTTAAAGTTTAGTTTTCATTAACACTTAATTTGGCATAGACAATATAAAACAGTCCATCTTTGTCTTTTGAGCTAGTACAGTATTGTTAGAGTACAGACCTTACAAAGGAGTAGTTAAAAGCAAAACCAATACTTATAAAGAAGTCTCAATGTTAATCTAAAAACATCCATTCATATTGAATTTTTTTTTAAATTCCACATTTTTGGCTTCAGACTAGCTTGAACTCTTTAACCATCTGAAATAATCTGTAACATTCATAAGCAAGACTTGGGGCTATCGGACCATGGAATGTGCGCTCCGGCATCTTAAAATTTTTTGAAACTGAGCACAAGGTGCTACCAAAAATCCAGTCCGTCAATTTATTCTTTTACATGTAGATTTAAATTTGTCTATGGAAATAAATTAGAGTAGTCTGAATATTCTTGGAGGTAAACATGAAAAAGGACTGGATTTTCAAAAGCACTCACTCAGTGTTCATCTAAATCTGCTCCCACTGAGTCAACGATAAAGCCCATGAGCCTTCAAATAGGAGAAGGCTTAGGCTAACATCAAGTACTTTGAAAATCCCAGCCCAAGTTCCAGTTTTTGCTTGCTGAAGAATATTACCCATTTCCATTTTCCAGAAAACTATGCTTTCCATTGCTGAAAAACTTCAAGTTGTATCACATTTAAAACAACAAAAATTTAACTCTGTCCTGCAGTGACACCACGAGGGGAAAAAAAAGTCAGTTTAATCTAACCTGGAACCACAATGCCATAATCATATGGTTAATGCATGGCCTCACAGAACAGTTAACAATGTTTGGGTATCTTAACCACATTTCCATACCATAACATGTTTGGATTTCTTTTAAGTGTAACCTTAACAGAATTTCCTGGCTTTGTAATTCTTTCGTAACCATGCATTACAGCCTCCGTCACCCTATTAGCCCTAAAGATACGTACTCTCCAACCTGAACTCTATTTTAGAGAGTGGGTGTCTTGGAATTTCTATTAAAACCAATTTGGGACTCTCAAATTCTACATATAGCTAGCCTATTGAATTCCATATTCACATGATACTACCCTTATCCATTCTCTTCCAAGCCGTCTTGTTTGTCACTCATTGCCTCTTATCTTACATGAAACTATTAGCCATTTGGGGTACTGTCTTCCTATAGTGTTTGTACAGCTCCGAATACAATAGAGATCTGATCCCTGGATATAAGGCCACCACATAATGTTACCCCAAGACAAGTATTTTCTTGAGTACAGCAGCTAATTATTAAGAGTATCTTCCTAAGAGTGTCTCAGTTGAATATACCTGGCTCTCAAAGATAAACAGTTGCTGTTTCACTTAACCACTGCCAGTCCATTTTGCCTGTAAATACTCTGCTCCATGAGCACAATTAATTCCCACTAAAGTCAATGGATTAAGTCTGGTAGCCACTAGACATTTTGGTATTTAGTTTCATTCTGCAGTACATATTCACAAAAGACGTAAGAGGGAGGGAAGAAAGCAGAGAAAATGGGATCAATGGGGAGAGGAAAAAGAAAAAAAAAAGACCAAGCACTAGTTGAGGGAAGGAAATGCTCATTTGACCTGGAAATGAGAAATCAAATTTTCTTTTCTTCAAAGTTAAGGGGAGGAGGGGAGAGAAAAAGAAAAAAGACAAGGAAAAGAAGAGAAACGGGACAGAATAAGATACATGTTTCCACACGTGACTCATTTTATTGTACTTTTCTGAAGAAGTCCAGAGCCTCTAAGGAAGTCTTATCACAGGATGCCATGCTGCTGACAGCTCACTTGACTTAAGTGGTTCTTTTCAAGGAAAATAATTTGTCTGCTCAGCTGGTTACCTTATTATTGGCTCTAGATCTGGGTGCCGCCGTTCTTCCTTCTTCTGGAAACCCTGATTTAGTGCTCGTAAAATGGTCTTGTCGAACGCTTCAGATGACAGTTCCTTTGGAAGCTGGTGAAAGGGTTCCAAATATGAGTTGCGCATTATCATATTCAAAGTCTTGACAACAGTACTCTTTATATATGCAATTATACTCCTTACTTAGCAGCACTGAGCTTGGATTTGCTTTTTAAAACAAATCTCATTGCTCTAGTACTGCGTACTATGGTTAAAAGCAAAACAATTTGATAGAGAACTGTGAATACTAAAGTGCCCGAGGCCATTTAAATGTTCCAATTTAGCTGGAGACAAAAATGTTAACATTCTTTACTCTAAAACTTCCAAATGATGTGCTGTAGTATGAAAACATGAGATGGGATTCTAATCATGAAAATTTCTCTAAAAAAATTATTGAATTTTTATTTGGGAAATGTTAGCAGTCCAATCTCAATTTCCAAAATTTAACTGAATAGCAATACTGCACCTTTTAACCTCTAGTGACAATCAGTTATGATCACGATGTTCTATAGTTTACAAAGAAGCAGTTGTCCATCAGCAGCATCCTTCAGCATATTTGAAGAGACTGAAGTCAGAGCGCTAGCTGGGAACTGTATGTTATTCACTGGCCAGGAATTAAGAATTTCTTGCACCGCATAAGGAACTATTGCATTAAATAAGAGGTACCAATATGCGCTACTTCTAGGTAGCAACTTAGAAAACTTGACATAGAATCAGAATTTCCAAATAAAAACCTGCAAATTAACACCCCACCCAAAGAGTAACGAAGGCATAGAAAAAAAGAAAGTGGCAAATGTCAGAAGTTGTGTTTTTTACTCCCCACTTCATGAAGCGGGCACTGGTCTCATGGACTAGACCACAGCAGCTAGTGGAAGCAGAGGAAACATGAAGACTCATGAAATAGAATATTCCTAAATCAAGTGTGTATAAAGTGCCCGTCTTCAGCTCTAGGACTAGGTCCTTTCATAAGAGCTTATGTTATATAGGTGTTTGGTTTTTAAGATACACAGACATCAGAGACTTAGTGCTAAATTAGCGGTAATGAGAAAGGAGATTTTGACCACAGAAAATACAAACTTTAAACTCAAATCAAAGTGTTGAAAGTAGGAATGTCTTAGACCAGAATGGAAATCTATGAACTAGGGAAGGCTTGATGAGATCTACAGCACAAAAATTTTGATGTGTGTGTATCCAGAGATGTCATCTTAAATATATGACAGTTTAAAGGGTCAAGACCTGCATTCTTAAAGTGCCTGCTTTGAAAACCCATTGTGTAAAAAGTGAATTTGGATGAAAGAGAACTTAATAAAATTTTCAAAACATACCTAAGTCTATCATCATGAGAGATATAGGGATGCACAGATCTGAACAGACTGAAAGTTCTCATGGAAATTCAGTTAATGGGATCTTTCCAAGAAGAAATGGAAATGTTAGAATGATCTTGAATAGTCCTTTGCTTTATGGGGTTTGTTGTAATGAAGGGGACTGAATTAATCTGTCCTACATAGGGTATTTCTATTCCACAGAGTAGCTTTGTGGAATAAATAAGATCCCCCTACCCGACATTGTAGAGGTGCATAAATGAGCAAAATGATGAAATTTCCCCATTATGCTTTCTTGGGCCACTAAAGTGAGGGAGTCATGTAGCAGTTTGAGATGGAGATTGCAGATGCAGCCTTGGCTCAGCTTCATTTCCCTCTGGAAGCAGAAATTCTTTTTCTGCTACCTTGAAGAGAAGAAATCTTGAAAGTGCTCATCTTTGTATGTTGTATGAGCAAAATTCCCTCTTGAACTGCTTAACTGATGGAGTGAACATTTTCTTCTAGACTTCAGTAACTGAACAGACTAGAACCTCTTAAATGAATTTCTCCAGAAACTTTGGAAGTGAGTGTTGAACACTAATAGTCTAGGTAACATAGGAAAGAGCTTTAAACCCATGGTCTATTTATTCCAATGTCCTATCTGATAGAAGCCAAACCTAGATGCAAGAAACCTTGCAGCAGGTAGATACGGGACAGACTGTCCTCCTTAAGGTCTCATCAAATACCTACTACTTGGAGAACGACTACCTACCAGACCGCATGCTTATCCAGTTATCCCTTTCAGAATTTAACAAACTGTGTTTGTGTTAGCCATACAAAATGTTGAATCCCTCTCTGAATTTTGCTAAGTTCTTGGCCTCAGCAACATCCTGCGAGTCTAATTCCTTTAATCAGTTTCACTGAATGTCCAATTATTCTTGCACTATGAGGGTAGAACAGAAGCTCCCTATCTACCTACTCTATAGCATACAGTAGGACCTCAGAGTTATGAACACCTAAGGAATGGCGGTTGTTCATAACTCCGAAATGTCCATAATTGAACAAAATGTTATCGTTGTTCTTTCAAACTTTAACATTGACTTAATACAGCTTTGAAACTTTACTATGCAGAAGAAAAAGGCTGCTTTTAACTGTCTTAATTTAAATGAAAAGCACAGAGACAGTTTCCTTGTCAAATCTTTTTAAAATCTTTCCCTTTTTAGTAGTTTACGTTTAACACAGGACCGTACAGTATTTGCTTTTTTAGTCTCTGCTGCCTGATTGCATACTTCCGGTTCCACATGAAGTGTGTGATTGACTGGTCAGTTTGTAACTCTGAGGTTCTACTGCAGGTTTTATATACTTTTATCATATCCCCCTCTTATTTGTGTTTTTACTGTAAGGAAGACTGGGAATCCTTCATACAAGGATTCTTCTGTGTCTGTAATCACTCATCCTTCTCTGAACTGCTCTAGGAGCTAACTGACTTTCATCGAAAGAGGTATCAAATACAAAAGCAGCAACCTGAGTATGGATATATATGAGAGTTACTTACCCGTAAAACTACACAGTCACACGGTTATTGGGAGATGCACCAATAGAACAATGGAAACCACTAAAAGCAGTGCCCTGTCTTGCCAGACTTTACTCCACATGCTTGGTATCAAAAGGATAGAAGAGGGAGGCAATAAAGGAGATCTGTTCCCCAATTTAGCAGAAAAGCCTCTGAAGTGACTAACATCTTCATCTGCCCTAGAACAGAACCTCTGACATTGCAATTGTGTCTTGTTATAAACTAACTATCAGACAGATGTATTCCCACCTGAAAAATATCCATTCTGCAACTGACTTTCAGGGACCATACCGGTACCACTGATTCTGGCTGAATTAGTCTGCCAGGATATTGATTCTCCCTATTAGGTAGTGTAATATCATTACAGCTATCCTGTGGCTCACTACTCTCAGAGAGCCACTGCCGCCTTGCAGAGTCATCTGGTGTGGATCCCTCCCTATTTGTTAGGTACAGTATTTGACCATTATGATGCTGGCCAATCATTTGTATTGCATTGTGCAGCCATTCTGGATCAGGGTCATGCATACTCCAACGACATCCATACCTGCTGGATTCTGAATGGCTAAATCTCTAGGCTTAGCTCTGCACCTGGAAGTAGAAATGAACAGGAGTCTGGCTAGGCTTCTTAGCACTTGAGAGGTTACTAGAAAGCTGAGGAAGGTCTCTTAGAACCCTTCAAAGCTCTCAGATCTAGAAGTCTTCCAAATGAAAAAGTGTATAACATTCAAAAAGTCTGGAATTGTACGCTGAGCAAGAAGGGTTTTCCAATATGAACTTAAATCTTATTCCCCTTTTAGGATAGCGAAGCTCCACCAAACACTGATAATTCATATGCACTGGGGTCCATCAAGATGCTCTTTGTATAAAGTTATGATAACAGGGTAATAGTAACACAAGAAGCCATTTGAGCCAAGCTCTCATTTACACTCTGAATCATTGGGAGAGGTAAAGAAAGATTCTCTAGGGTAGGCACAATCCAAGAATAGCCACTGAGGTGAGGAATGGATGCAAGACCACAGTAGCTAGGATGATAGCACTGTTTTAACCCATTTTACAGGACACAATGGACATACAGCACAAATATCCGCTAGTTTACTCATATTTTGTGAGCTCCTCAGAGAAGGGGACTGCATTTGTCTTACAACACCAAGTAGAAAATTGTAAAAAGTTTGGTATTCTTGGCTTTGCACCAGTAATTAAGTTATTTTCCCAGAGTAGTACTAACATGTTTGTTAGCACCCATGTAGTCATGTCCAGTGTTAGCTCCACTGTGACCATAAAGAAAGCCAGCCTTACAGTTTTAGGACAGCTCAGTTAGAACCAAAAGGGTACGAAGGTTTGTCTCCCATCTCAAACTACCATCTCCTGCCAACCAAGGAACCATATCTTCTAGTCCTGCTTGGGCAAAAGTATGGTCAACATACTTTGGAAAGTAGCAGCCGTGTTAGTCTGTATCCGCAAAATGAAAAGGAGTACTTGTGGCACCTTAGAGACTAACGAATTTGAGCATAAGCTTTCGTGAGCTACAGCTCACTTCATCGTACTTTAAACATGTATGTATATGTTTATCATTTAGCTAGTAATAGAGGTATACAAGAAAGAATCTGTGTAAGGGCCTTCACTCACTGTGACAGTCTGAGGCCCTGTTCTTTGGCCAATGCCTTTGGCTAAGCAGCAGAGACAGGCATAAGCTGGGAAGCGTATGGTCACATACTTTGGAAAGGAATTTATGACCATACAATGTTACAATGTACGTTCCTTTAAACAGACTGTCTAACATGCATTGGTGTTCATTCAATCAGTGCTTTCCTGAAAGCCTGAAGTCTGGCAATATTCTCAAGCTTCTCTCATTAAAGCTCAAGAGACAGAATCATCATCTAGTAGTGCCCTATCCCATGAAATTCGAGTGTGATGTACAGTACTCTGCTTGTACGTTGCTTACACTTGAATACATACTTTTAGTAGGAATTCCTGCAGCTCCTGGTGTGTTTTTGTTACACATGTTACAGAAAGATCAGACCAGGTTACCTGATAGGAAGGGAGAGGAGAAAAGTTACATCATGTTTCTTACCTTGCATTATACCATTTAATTATGTTTAGTACATCTACAGCACTGTCCATTTAAAGATAGTATACAAATTCCCACTGCAAGTATTAATATCCATTTTGGCAAAATATAGTCTCCTTTTGAAAGTGTGGCCCTAACTAACAACTTTGGATCTCCTCTAAAACAGTGGTTCTCAACCAGGTGTCCAGGGGCCCCTTGGGGGCTGTGAACAGGTTTCAGGGGTCCTCCAAGCAGGGCCAGCATTAGACTTGCTGGGGCCTAGGGCAGAAAGCCGAAGCCCCACTGTATTGGGCTGAAGCCCAGGGCCCTGAGCCCCGTGACCTGGGGCTGAAGCCAAAGCCTGAGTAACTTAGCTTCATGGGGTCCTGTCGCATGGGGGCCCCAGGCGATTGCCTTTCTTACTACCCCCTAACGCTGGCCCTGGCTTTTATATGCAGAAAACCAGTTGCTGTGCCACAGGTGGGCCGTGGAGTTTTTACAGCATGTTGGGGGGGCCTCAGAAAGAAAAAGGTTGAGAACCCTGAGTCTAAAAGACAACTCAGACACTATTTCTGGAGGAACAAGCACCAACAAATCAATCATTTCTAGAGTGTGAGGGAGTGATGGGGGGGGGAAGAGAGGAAATCAAGCTGGGCACACAAGATTAGTGCACACTTGAAACTTTGGGCCTAAAATCACGCATCTGAGGCTATACAACTAAATTACTAGAAGCAGCAGTATTAGCGGTCAGTAATTACTGGCTCCCAGTACCAGACACAAGCCCAGTAAAACCATACTGTTTCTTTAGAGAAGACGATTCCAAGTGAGGCATACAAAGTCTAGTTCCACCACTCCTACTTGGGTAAGTCAAAACCTCTGTTCAGTTACTCTGCCAAATGATATAGTTAGCTCTCTCCTAAAGTTAAGGAGATTTAATGTTTAAAAAGCCATACAAGAGATGGATGTAGGATGCAATAAGTATTATAAAAGTTTGCATCAAAAAGTGTTATGAAGTTAGACTCCAAATTCTGGTAGTGTTTATACATTATATCAGTGCTTCTCCATGCTTTGCTGCACTAGCCCAATATGTGAACAGCAAAATAAAGGCTCCATATAATTACTTTTAAAGTGAAGAGTAAATTCTATTTCCCTCCTCTGCTAAGTGGCTCAGTTTCCTAGCTTCAGACTTAACTTTAGAAAATCCTATATACCAGGAAGTGGAGCTGACAGCTCAAAATAAGAAGGTATTTAGCAGTAGCTGAATGGATCTAACCACCACCATTTTCAGTCGAGATTCTGGGGAGCCTTGTAAGCTGCTATGCTTGTGGAGGATGACCGTTTCTACAACCTTATATTTACTGAAGGGTAGAGAAGAACTTACAAGGCAGATCTCTCAAGTGGTTTGGAGCAAAAAAGATAAGAGTTGAATAGAGGAGATCTAGTTGTTTGGGTTCCTAGATGTGCTGGAGAAGAAGGAGCTATTCTCTACCCTACGAGTACAAAGGGAGTGGAGCTGGAGAATTCACTTAAATGCCTTCCAGCAAGTCTCTGCTCCTTTCCTACTTCATGTAGGATTTCAAGACTGCTATCATGATAATCTGCAGACTGGCTCTCTGAAACACCTTTGAGTTATTCATGTTTATGTCACTAATGGATTATGTGATGGATGGAGACGGTTGTCTAAAGGATATGTCTATGCTGCAGATGGGAGCATGCCTCCCAGCCAAGGTGGGCTCACATTAACTTTGCTCAAGCTACTGCGTTAGAAGTAGCAATGGGTGCTGGGGTCAGCAACGTGTCTATATACTGACAAGTCTCCATGGTAATTTTTCAAAAAATTGAATGACTGAATGACATACCCCTCTCTCCCCCACAACGTCCATCACAAAGTACGGTAATTTTGTCAAGTGTCCGTTGTGCAACATGGTGGTGCCGACCCCTGGTGTAGATATTGTGGCACAGGCAGTGGTTTGGGCGAGCCTTCTGAGCTCATATCCAGAGGGGTAGGCAGAGTTGGTCTCTGGTGGCTACTCAAGCTTAACTGCCCATGCCGCAATGTCCAACGTACTATTTTTACCATGCTAACTCAAGTAGAGAGAGCACAAGTCTGTCTACTGGGCAGGAAGGCTCGCTCCCAGCTGAAATATAGACAAACCAAGTTTCTGGTTGTTCTCAAATAGCCACTTTGACACAGTTAAGATTGCTTCAATGACAAAAGCCTGTGCATCTGCAGGGTGTTCTACATTTTGTAGACTAAATTCTAAATTAACATGCTCTGCAACAGTGGTCTCCAAAGTGGGGTGCGCAAGACAATCGATTGGGGGCACAGCAGGAGGAGCACCGCTGGAGGGGGGAAAGAGGAGGGGCGGCCCCGAGTCCTCTGGCCTGTGGAGGAGCACTCTTTGAAGGGGAAAGCACTGCTTCTCTCCAGCTGCTGACTGCGTGGCTGCCCCTGCTCCTCCTGAGTCCTCCGGCCTGCGCTCTCAGGGCCTTATTCCAAAAGGGGCTTTAGAGCTGCAGGCCAGGGCGCCGGGGCCCCCTTAGTCCAGGGCCCTGAAGCCCCTAAAGCCCCTGCGTTCCAGGTGGCCCTGCCTGCCGGAGGTGGGAAGCTCCCAGAATCGTAGCCATGGGGGTGGTGCTGCGCTGCGCAGAGTCACCTGCACACCCCCTGCACCAAACAGGAGCTGCCCCAGGTAAGTGCTCTGCACCTCCTGCCTGCCCCAGCCCTGAGCCTCTTCCTGAGCCCCCACCCTGAGTGCCATCCCACACCCTAACTCCCTCCCAGACCCTGCATCCTCACCCTGAGCACCCTCCCACACCTTAACTTGCTCCCAGACCCTGTACCCTACCCTGAGTGCCCACTGTATCACAAAGTGTTAAACCAAGATTTTCAAAAATAATAAAGCATATTCAATCACATTGCTCACACTAAATTGAGGTTTTTTGTACCATTAATAAATAAAAAAATTAAAATATTTCTTCTCTCATGGTTTTTTAATTTCTATTGTGTGTGTATGTTTTATAATTTACAGAATATATTAGTACAGTAGTATATGTATATAATTTATACATAAATAAATATACATATATTGGGGGTGTGTGCTCAAAAAATTTACTGATAGGTGTGCACAATCAAAAAAGTTTGGAGACCACTGCTCTACAACATTGTGTTTTCGGGGGACAGAAAACCACAAGTGAGTTTTTTTTAACTTTAGCTCCAAACTTAAAAAAGTTTTTGCCTGGGAATACTGTTACATTTTCATGTCTACCTGTCAGTGGCCAATAAGGTTAGATGCCAAACTACCTTGCTTTTATATAGCACTTTATTAGCAGATCTCAAAATGCTTTGCAAAAGATAATCATTATCACATTTTACAGATGGCGAAATCAATCAAACCCAGGCCTTCCGAGTCTCAATCCAGTGCCTTAAGTACTTGGCCACATTACATAGCATTGACTAGGAACAAACAAACTGTAAGTTGTCCTCATTTAGTCAAAGTAGGCCCAGTTTGCAGAATTCATGGATACACAGCACTAATGGTCTAACTTAATGCACTTCAGTATAGAAAGCTTTTCTGAACTAGTAGCAAAGCACTACTCACTTACGTAATCAACCCCCAACCCCTGGTAACCATTAGATCATTGTCTCTGGATATTCTCATGCTTGTGGGATGCACCAGATAGACCTTCCAGAAAGCAGTGCTGGTCAGGGCCATCCTTTTGTAGTACCAAACATTCAGAATATAGTTATAAAAGGGCCACGTGGCCTTGACTGCCTTTCTGACTTCTGTACTACAGCTGCAGACACAAAAACCTCAGGACACCTATTTGGTATTTTTACTAAGTAATTAAACAGTTTTAGTATTAAATATATTTTAGTACTGTTTTAGAATTTTCACAAGCATGCAGCTCCCCAGGTCTGGGTTAGACCCAAAAAGGCCAAGATTTTCAGGCATATTACTCTGGAGTGACATACACACACGTTTAGAAGAGGCCTAACTGATGCTCAGTATGTTGTGTCTTCACACCTCAGGCCTGGAAGTACAGGAAGCATTTGCACCATACCTTAATGAATGAGGCAGAGAGCATGTGTCTTAGAATAGGTAGATATCAGTTTAAAAGAACTAGTGGGGAGAGAAATCTCACTAACACTAGTAATTTAAAAACATTTTTTATATCCCTAAGCTGTGTTAACTTCATATTAAAAAGATGTACTTTTAAAAGCTAGCTGTTATTTGCTTACTTTGAAGGTGTACTCCAAATGTTTGTCAGCCCTTTTTCTTGATACTCCTTTCAGTGTTATCTTCTCAATGTGAACAGCTGAAAGAAAGAACAGCAATTTGTACTAGGTACAGGTCTAGTTTGAAAATTTATTCATCTGTTATGACAGCATCACCATGTTAGAGAATCATGCACCCTCACTGCCAGTTACTCTTTTTCTGGGGAAATACGAGTAGAAACCCATGGCCCTTGTGCTCAAGGAAATAAGTTTCTCTGGTCTGAAAACCACTCTTCAAAACCAGATTCTTAGTACTGACTGCCACCATTGTGTGTATTTCTGTCCAGATGTACTACACAATATTACAGATATGGGCATGAAGCCTTACACAGCCAATAACAGACCCAGTAATTACTGTCAGTGAAGAGAAACCCTTAAAATAAACATGTGTTTATAGCAAAAGGTTTCAGTGCAGCCAACTGAAAACAGTCAACTCCTGTGCACTGCAGTCCCATTTTGCAGAAGTTAAGAAATAGGGCCCACTTCACAAAAGGCCAGAGTCTGTAATTGAAAGTGACAAGTGAGGTAAAATGTAGAATACTGATAGAAGTATGACAGCATGACGAAGTCAGTGATCAGAAAAAAAGGGGGGGTAAGAAAGGATGGGGAGACTACAGCAAGAGAGAAGTATTATATTCAGATTGCAGGTTTTGAACTTGTTCATATGCAGAACGAATTACTGGAAAAGAGCTCAAGAGACTGAGATAATAGTCCCAGCACCCAGACCATTCAGACAGATCCAGTAACAGGCCAGGGCAGTTTCACTGCATTGCATTGGAGAAGGTGGGCTACAGGCTCTATACACCCTCTGAACCCCGCACATAGTCTCCCATACATGGAAAAAAGGGAGCAACCCTTGCTGATACTTGTTAAGGAGATGTGGTGTTGTAATCTTCAAATATTACTTAAAACTTGAATTAGTGTTTTTCAGGATGCAACTTGTAAGAAAAATCCTATATGAAAGTTGTTATGAAATTGAAAGGCTCCTCTTATCTTGTTTCCTCTAAGGCCTGGTGTAGGCTACAATTAGGTCGATGTAAGGCAGTTTACATCAGCCTAATTATGTCAGCATACACACTACAGCCTCATCCCACCGATGTAAGTGTCCTACTACACCAACATTGCTAATGCTAGTGTAGTTAGGGCGGTAGACACTGCCTTACCCAACAGCTGATGTAAGTGTCTTGTCAATTTCACATCTCTATGCTGGGAGGTGAGAAGTTCAGGCAGCAAGTGGGTTCCCAGCATGAAGCTGTGCAGAGCTGAGAGCTCTGGCTCTCAGGCTCCCACACTGCCCCTCTTCAGTTGGTGGAAGCGCTTCTAGTGAGGATGCACACCACTGACAAAAAAGGGAGGATAGTGGAGACATCAGCCACTGCAGTAATTACTGCCATGGCTGTAAGTTGACATAACATAAGTGATTTAGGGCTGTAGTGTGACATGCTCCAAGAATGTATCAAGATAAAGAATTCACTTCCTTACAACCATGGGCTGATCTTGACAGACCTCATCTGTTAAGTAAGGTCACAACATTAGCATTTGTATCAGCGACCCTGAAGAAGGAAACAGAGGAACAGCCGTGTTAGTCTGTATTCGCAAAAAGAAAAGGAGTACTTGTGGCACCTTAGAGACTAACCAATTTATTTGAGCATGAGCTTTCGTGAGCTCACGAAAGCTCATGCTCAAATAAATTGGTTAGTCTCTAAGGTGCCACAAGTACTCCTTTTCTTTTTGAAGAAGGAAAGACATGGATCTTTTGTACATCATGCAAAAGCAATCGTCTGCAGGAGATTCTCTCCTTATCATTCTGCTCACCCCCCCCCTTTTTTTTTTAAACTAGCAAGGTTGTTTTTTCATCACTGAAAAATTAAGATTGAAATAGTTAAAATGTCAGGTAATTCAGAGATAAGGAATCTTAATTAACCTCCTTGCATATCTTGATTAGAACAGAGTTATTCATTCTTGCCAAATCACCTGCAATATCACCACCTTACACAACTTGTACAGCTTCTGCTCATACTTACATTTAAATTTAAAAGTTTCAGTAGGTTAGACATCCATTTGTAAATGCCAGTTCTAGACTGAAACAGCTAAATTAGTAACTGAATCTTGAATAAACTGAAACAAGCAGCCACACAAACCTGAAATCCTATAATCCCACAACTCCTGAAATACTTAGTTTCCAAACCATAAACAGAGTATCCTTTATAGCTAAGAATTTTTAATGTCACTTCCCAGATTTTTTTTTTTAAAATTGTGAGTAACTTGTTTTCAAAGTAATGAGAGGAAAAAAATGACCTACCCACCAATACATAGACATTTAAGTTACCCCAAAAATTAAACAAAAACCTTTGTTTCAGAAGTTAAGACTGCTACACCTGTCACTTTAACCTCAAGAATTTAAGGATAACTGAACAGTTAACCTTCCAAAATCTTCAACTGCCTATGTTAACAAATACATTGGTTTTTAATTATAAAGAAACATGCACTGCATAACACCTTGAGCCTGGGCCATGGGAGGTTCCATAAGCGGTATTGTTAAATGGGAAATACCAGTTAACATTTGTGTATAAACACAAAAATTCTTGGTTCATACTTACAGGCATTTGATAATGATGTACATGTAGTTAAATCAAACTTATGGTGAAATGTCATAATAGGGAAAGTATGCTGACTAGTATTTGAGGCTGATCCCAACTATATGTGTGCACATTTATGATCATATTAATCTTGAAAATGAAACTTATTTTAGGCTATTTAAGACTTGTGTTATAAATATTTATAATATTTGAGGAATAAATATTATGCATTTATTATGTAGACAAAGATATGCAATCTCCTTTACTATTCATTTTCTTGGTTTTCAATGCTCTAGATTTTGTAAGTGCTCTAATTGATATTGTAGTTACCTCTCAGCAGCCTTTAAGTGTTTCTGAAATAAAGACTTAGTTTTGTGATTTCCTATGTTGCTTTTTTATTTATGTTTTTAAACAGACTTTTCTTCCAGAGTCAGTGTTTTTAAGAGCTTAAGTGAGTGGATGGATTGGTCGTCTGTTTAAATTAAGTAACACTGGCTAAGATAATAATGGCTCATACATAGCTCTGACTCATTCTGTTCACAATACATATTCATGCTGAATGTCAACTTAGTATGTATGCGTGCATACTACAGATTATCGTCATTCTGAACGTTGTTTTAGCACTTAGCTACAACCAAATTATGTACCAGAACCAAGTCTGGAAGCTAAATCTCTTGTTTTGAGTTATACATATAGGAACACTTTTTTTTTTTTTTTACAGCTGGCTTGAATACAGAATTTTGAAGTCATCTATATGAGAAGAACGGGGGTTTACTGGATAAGATATAGGATTGCCACAAGTTTCCAAGTAACTTTTTGCAAGTTACCTGAACTCTATTCAGCAATTCCACCTGGAAGATGCATTACATTGGCACAGAATTCATGTCATCTGCAGATTTCTTTGCTTCCCCACAGAAAAATGACTTCTGAGGGGAAGCAAAAGGGAAGCGCAAGAGTTGTCACTTGCTCTTCCCTGGCAGCCCAGAGCAGCTGGTGGAGACGTAAATCAACGTGGGGGGTGGGGAAGTGGGAGAGAGCTGGGCATTTGTGGGGAGACATCAATCAATGCTGGGGGTGGGACTGGGCAGGCATGCAACTCAGTGAACAATAGAGACTCTGTGCTTCTGGCTCACTATTGCAGCGCGCCTGGCATGGAGGGGCAGGGCTTTGGGGTGTTTGGAGGTAGGTGTGAGGCAGGCTCTTTCCTCTCAGGCAGAGTATAACATAGCAGGCTGCCTACTTAGTTGGTCCCACTGTTAGCGAATTGTTCTCATTTTTAGTGAGTTCCCCCAGGAGCATAAACCATGTGTAAAAGTTTTAAGGCTCCTTTACATTGCCAGAGAGGTGTAAAGGAGCCTTATTGTAAAAGACAGTATGACCATATAAATGCTTATGGTGCTTCAGTGATTAGAATGGGTCTAATTTTTTGGACCTAAAAATTTTCCTATCAAAATGTGCTCTATGAACTGTCTACTACTAACCTTTCTGGAAATGGTCGGTAGCCAATATAAACTGTGAGTTTGATTCCCCAGGCCTCACTTGCTCTCCAGTTGCCTAGGATATAATACTGAGCATATGGCTGCATACATTTGTTGACTAAGAAACTAGAAATAAAGGGTCAAACCTAGCTACGTTACTATTAGACAAATGGGGTTTGGATATTTCCTCCAATGCCTCACAATCCCATTCTCCATCCATTGTATTGTAGTTTAAATAAATTACCAAAATAATTAAGACCAGAGTGATTACATTGTGTTGACAAATAAAATATGGAGAATTTTAAAATATTGTGCACAGAATGTTTAGTTTGTGTTACAGAATTACCCCCAAAGTATCTATATACATACTCCCTAAGCAAAGAGGGTGTTATTAATGAGGAATGCAACTGAGTGGCACTTGACTACAATCATTGAAAATTAGACAAACTATTACTCATTTTCTTCAGTATTTCACTACTACACTTTTAAAACTCCAAACTGAAGTGAAGCACTTCTAGACTGGTACATAGTAAAGAAAAGCAGAAGACTCGTTCTCATTTAAGTATTTTGTTAAGATAAAAACATTCAAAAAACCCTCATGTAAGATCCACACCTGATTATAACATTGAGCAGGAGGAGAAAACCAAGAGAGGATACAGCAATGGAGAAAGAAACAGCAATGGGTAGGAGAATCGACATTAAGAGGAAAGATACCTGACTCTTAGTGCCAATGCCAGCGAAGTGAAGCAATACTGGCAGTAGAATGACCGTACCCAACTGGGTGAGGAATCTGGGCGAAGTCAAACAGAAACAAGCATGATGTTTGTACACCACACAAGGAGCCTAGAGTGCAAAACAGAGGAACTAGAACTACTGGTGCAGGAAATGACACCAAGTATCATAAGGATAAGAAACATGGGGTGGAATGGTAGTCAGGACTAGAGTACAAGTATTGAAGAGTATGTGCTGTTCAGGAAAGATAGCTATAAAGGCAAAGGTGAAGGAGTAGCATTGTATATTAATGATGAGGTAGACTGTAAAGAAATTAGAAAATGATAGAATGGATAAGACAGTCTGTTTGGGTCAAAATCACTTTGGGGAAGAAAGCTACCAAAGCTTCCACAAGGATAGTACTTGGGTATGAAACAGACTCCTAGGATCCGATTTGTACATAGAGACCTCTAACATTTTTAATGAAATAAATAGTACTGAGAATTGTGTGATTATCGAAGATTAACTTCCCAGATATAGATCGGAGGGCCAGTGCTACTAATAATAGTAGGGCCCAGATTTTCCTGGATGTGATAGTTGACAGATTTTTTTCAAATAGTTTCTGAACCAACAACGGGGAAATACCATTTTAGATTGGTACTGGTGAGTAATGAAGACCTCACAGAAGAGCTGATTGTAGGGAACAACACTGGTTCAAGTGACCATGAGCTGATTCAGTTTAAACCAAATGGAAAGAAACAAAAATGATGAGCAACTAGGGTCCTTGAGTTAAAAAAGGAAAACTTAAAAGGAATTAGTTAGTGAAGTTGACTGGACTAAAGGCCAAGCAGTGTTGGACCTTGAAAAGGAAATTAAAAACAGTAAAAGGTTCTATAGCCATATATAAGAAGAAAACAATCAAAGAAGAAGTGGGACCACTAAGCACCGAGGATGGGGTAGAGATTAAAAATCTAGGAATGGCCCAACATCAAAACCAAATACTTTGCCTCAGTTTTTAATAAGGGTAATGAAGAGCTTAGGGATAGTGGCGGGGTGGCTACTGAACAAGGATATGGAAGTAGAAATTACCACATCTTAGGAGGAAGTCCAACTCAAACAACTTAGTGGGACTGGGACGGTGCGGGGAGGGGGGAAGAGAAGGCGCACAGATAATCTCCATCCAAGAATATTAAAGGAATTGGCACATGAAATTGCAAGACCAATAGGAAGGGTTTTTAATAAATCTGTAAACAGTGGGGGAGGGGGAGGGTGTCATACCCCATGACTGGAGAACTGTTAATATAGTTCCTATTTTTAAGAAGGCGGGGAGAGGGGAGTGATCCGGAATACTACAGAGCTGTTAGTTTGACCTTAGTTATATGCAAGGTCTTGAAACAAATTTTAAAAGAGAAAGTAAAAGGGCTGTCAAACTATTAAAAAATTGCCATTAATCACGAGATAAAAATAGTCATGATTAATAGCAGATTTAATCGCACTGTTAAACAACAGAATACCTTTTTATTTAAATTTTTGGATGTTTTCTACATTTTCAGATATATTTAAATTACAACAGAATACAAAGTAAACATAACTTCACTCCTACATAAAACAATGTAAAACTTCTTATTTACCTTGCAATGGCGGCTACAAAAGTGCCATGCGAATGCCTGTTCTCACTTTCAGGTGACATTGTAAACAAGAAGCATCTCCCATAAATGTAAACAAATTTGTTTGTCTTAGCTGAACAAGTAGGAGACTGAGTGGACTTATAGGCTCTAAAAAGTTTTAGAGTTTTGTTTGAGTGCAGTTATGTAACCACAAACAAAAAAATAATATCTACATTTGTAAGTTATACAAAGCACTAGTGAGACCTGATCTGGAATACTCTGTGCAGTTCTGGCCTCCCATGTTTAAGGAAAAATGAATTCAAACTGGAACAGATGCAGAAAAGGGCCACAAGGATGATCGAAAGAATGGGAAACCTACCTTATGAGAGAAGACTCAAAGAGCTTGACTTATTAGCCAAACTAAACAAAAACTATAAGGAGACAGGACTGCTCTCTAGAAATAGAGAGGGATAAATAGAGAGAGAGAGAGAGAGAGTGTGTGTGTTTAGATGAAGGTTTCTTATCATCAGAGGAGTGAAGTTCTGGAACAGGCTTCCAAGGGGAGCAATGTGGGAAAAAAACTTAAGTGGCTTCAAGACTGAGCTTGATAAGTTTACAGAGGGGACGGTATGATGGGACCATCTACAATGACATGTATCTGATCTGCAACTTATAGCAGCAGATATCCCCAACAGCCAGCGATGGGACACTAGACGATAAGGGTCTGAGTTACTACAGAGAATTATTTCCTAGGTGTCTCTCTGATGAGTCCTGCCCACAGGCTCAGCGTCTGATTGACTGCCATATTTGGGGTCGGGAAAGAATTTTTCCCATGTCAGATTGGTAGAAACCCTGGGGCTTTTCACCTTCCTCTGCAGCATGGGGCATGGATCACTCGTAGGTTTAAACTAGCATAACTGGTGGATTCTCTAATTTTAAGTCTTTAAATCATTATTTGAGGACTTTGGTAACTCAGCCAGAGATTATGGGTCGACTACAGGAGTGGGTGGGTGAGGTTACATGGCCTGCAACATGTAGGAGGCAAGACTAGATCAGGCGTGGCCAAACTTACTGATCCTCTGAGCTGCATGCAATAATCTTTAGAAGTTCGAGAGCTGGGGTCACCTATTCAGGGCTTCTGCCTAGCAGCAGGGTATTGGGGCTTGGGGCTTCAGCCCTATGCGAGGTGCCTGCCAGTGCTCATAGCTTCAGAAAAAGAGTGGGGCTGAAGCCCTAGTAGGTTCCTCCCTGCAGGTGACCCGCACACCCCACTGGGCAAAAGCCCCTAGACCCACCACTCCACCACAGGGCAGAAGCCCCGAGCTCCACCCCAGTCTGGTAGGTGGAGAATGGCAGGGGGGGGCCGGAGGGGTGAGGCATGAACCACAGTTTGGCCACCCCGTACTAGATGATAGTGATGGTCCCTTCTGACCTTAAAGTCTATGAGTCTTAGGTAAGAAGAGTGAATCAAGCAAGCAACACTACAGTCACAACTTTACAATATCGACAGTTTAATTCACAAATGTTTTGCATCACTATAGCAACCAATACTGTGGATAAAGTCAGTTCCTGTTAAGTTTATATTCCTCCTCCCAATAAACCATCTCTGCTTCAGGGGTAAGCCTCTTTCTTGACCCACCTGCAATTAATCTCTATCCATTCTGATATAAGCAGTAGGAAACTAACTACAATTATACAATCCTGTCATTCTGCTCATACCAGATGGGAGAGTGCTGTGAAGGTGATCCAGAAGCAGCTGCACTTAGGGACCAGTCAATTCCTCATTTGAGTGAAGAGTAAGACATAGGAGTCCCATAACACCAGGTTAAATTTAACATGCAAAGAATATAAAAAACTTCTAAACAGAATTTTATTTACATACCTTCCCGCTGAGGTCTATGAGAGGCCATCGAAAGTCCATCATGAGGTGGTGTGGTGTGATCCAAACTATTCTCATTACTTGGCATGCAGTCATTATGGGAAAAGTCATTCTATATGGGGGGAGAAAAATAGAGGGGAAGTTCCTTCAATATATTCTCAAAACCCCACCACCTGAAATTATGCAGGCCAAATTTTGTCAATCTGAGAGTCTGCTGTTAACAGAAAAACACAACCAAATAAGCAAGCAATTTATTTTTTCCTACAGGTGCACAGTACACGCTATTGACAAAGACTAAGATTTTAAGAAGTGACTAGTGACAGCGTACCACAATTTTCCAGGTGCTTAACACAACACATTTTCAAAAGGACTTTTATTTAAATAAAGTGCTGTCCACCTAGCCTCTGAAAGTCTGATTCCTTTAAGATGTCTCAACTTGGGCACTCAAGATCACTAGCCTTTCTTAGAAAAGCTTGGAAAATGTAATAATTACTGTAAGTGATAGATTAGCATTAACCATAGCAGCATACTTAAGTAATTTGTTCACTTAATTCTGAACATGCTCTCATATACAATAAACCCCTCATGTACTACTTTGCTATGATTTTGCTACTAAAATATGTACACAGCTTAGTTGCCCAAGTCATCCTAAAACTAGGAGATAAAACACCTGTATGCCTCCAGTAACAAAGGCAAGTTAACTGAACAAAGGGACTATCAAATGTCAAGTATGGCATCTGGAAAGACTGGGCAGTGAGTGAGATTGGCCATTTCACTCAAGTTTGAGCATCTGTTGTAATGCACATCAGAAGTCAATATATACACGTTTTGTCTTTTCAATTTGTTCTTGGATAAAAGAAGCTTACTGGAATAGAAATACTTCAGAAAAGCTCTGGAAGGGTCATTCTCACATGAATTTTTTTTTTTTATATAAAGTGTTCTTAACTGTACTAACATTGTTGTGCTCCTGGTAAAAGAAATATGTTGACCACTATCAGGGTAAGCTTTTTACAAAATCCTGAGATAGCTCTCTTATATTTTGAGATATTGGAATTGAGGTACCTGGGAATTCAACTCCAGAATACATTTTAAGGGAACCAAAGACGCATTGTGTTGAAGCCCAACATGCTGAACTGATTAATATTCAGAGTTGCACTCCAATTGCCATTCACACAGGAAAGTCAGAAGAGATCGATCAGCTGTAAGTACCTTTGAAATGCTGATTTACAGTTGTCAAAATAAAGACCTCCTAAGGCGTGTTACCACCACTTCAGATAAGCAGAGAGCAAAAGAGTCAAGTTCAAATATTGAGATTTCAATGTACTACAGGGAAAATAGGTGTGCAGAATTGTATGAAATGCTTCCTTCAGCCTTCACTTTTGGTCAGAGGCAGACAATGAAATCTCCCACTACAAATGTTTGTATACATAATGCATATAAAACTAAGAGCAAGATGTTCACCCCCTGCCATGGCCTCTTTATGCATGCAGAAAAGACCACAGTGGTATAAAGGAGTATTAAAAACGCTAGATTCATCCAGAAGAGGATTTGCCCAAGACACAAAGTGGTCTGGTAAGGACCCATTCACACATTGTAACAGGAGGCATGTCAGGGATAAGGCAAAAGCAAGGTTCCATGCAGTGCTACAGACAGGGACAAGCTGTTGTAACTTAGATAGGCCCCCCATGGCTGTCAGTAATGTCAAGGGCTGTTAAGCAGTCCAGAATCAGAACAGCACAAAGGTGGGTTAAAGCCACAAAAGGCATCCCTGATCCTGTCTTGCACAGAATCTAAGAGGCACAGAAACTCAGTGTTTATTTAAACCAATGCATCATTGTTGCATTTGGACTGTTTTGGGTGAGCTTCATTAGGCTCTGAGGAACCTCTGTTTTAAAACTTATGACATCCCTATTAATAGGAAAAAAACTGTCTTCTGAACATTAAAATGCTTTGCACAGATGCTTAACCATTCAGCTGCAATCCTTACCCCACTCCTCTGATAAACACCCATAATTTCAGCCTGCAGAGGTTTATTATAAATTGTGAACACAATAGGAGTATTTGAACTAATTGGCATTTTAACAGCTTTACTATTTGCAATTTTTCTACAATTAGAAAAAAATATTTTGGATAGATAGAGGCATTTTGAAACAGACCTCTTCCCTACTCCAGTAAAATGGAGGTGGTTTGCCAAATATGCCATGACATTATTGGATACAACGGACAGCCATACATAACACCAGATCTAACTTTTGATGGAGGTCAAGCTACTTCAACTAAAAGCAGAAAGAGGTAATGTGCTAGAATTTGAATTCCTGGTCTCACACTATTCTATCAGATCAAAGAACTGTTAGTTTCCAGATACTAAACTATGATGTTTTTGTTCACTTTACGGAAGCCCACAAAAGCAAGTTATACTATGGATAGGGCCCTACCAAATTCACAGTCATTTTGATCAATTTCACAGCCAGAGGGTTTTTAAATTAGTCAATTTCACATTTTGAGCCCTTTATATCTGAAATTTCAGTGTTGTAACCATGGGGGTCCCAACCCAAAAGGTACCTGGAAGTTGGTCTGATCTTCTCCCACCCCAACCCCCCTGCTGCCATGTCCTGTCCCTCCCCACCACAGCAGGGACTCACAGCTAAGAGCTCCCTGGCTGGGGCTCTCCCAGGAGCAGGGGGAATATCTGACTCACCTCCACAAGTCTCCTCCAGCTGCAGGAATCTCCGAGGCTGGAGCTTCCTGCAGCAGACGGGAGGCAGGCACTCCAAGGTGGGTCTGATCTCCCCCTGAAAGCTAGAGCAGCTGTGCAGAGGAAGGACAAGTCCTCTCCCTCCCCGTCCCAGACTTACAGCTAGGAGCCCCCTCACTGGAACGCTCCCAGCAGCAATGAGGAAATCAGATTTCATGGGGAAGAGCTTATTTCACAGTCCTTCACAGCTGTGAAATTGGTAGGGCCAGAACTATGGATGAAGTTGAGCAAGCTATTTGAACTGACAATTTTTAGCATGCATTTTGGCAGAAGTGAAAATGCCTTCTTGCTGTCATCCAACTAAAGACCTGGACCCAACTTTCAAAAGATCAATGCAGCTGCCAGAAAATTACTAACTAGGTCCTGTTTAAGCTATAGCCAAATGCTTTGCCAGATACAAAAAGTAGATACAAAAGTTAGCTCGACCGCATGCAGCAGAATGACTCTATATTAACGTTTTGGAAGAGCTGCCTAATTTGTTGTTTCCTATAATAAAATAGTCTGTTACTTTAAAACCATGAGCTTGAGTGAAAAAAAGCTATAGCACCATTCATTTTAAATGCAGAAAGTCCCAGCTTTCTAATAGCATTTTCTAAAATTGACCTAAAAAACCCAACAGAGCAGGAACTGGCTTTCTGCTTACATGTCAGACCCAAGATATTCACATTCTACAATTTGTGACAAAATATACTACAACATATTCCCTTAATACAGTCTATCCTGAGGCATACTTAAGACCTTAATCTGACAGTTAGCTCTCTTCCTCTTAAAGTACAGCTATTTGAAGAATTAGCTTGTATTGTTTTGATTTTTTAATGCTTTAACATCTCTTTAATAGAAAAGAAATGTGGAGCTAGAAGCTTGTTTAAAAAACAATTTCTCAATTCACCTCAGCATAGGAGAGAGCATGGGATTTAAGGATTGGGGAAAGGTAACAGGAGATATTGAACTCATAGGTGGTCACCACCACAGCTCTTACCAGAGACCTGAGCTTGTAAAGAATAAGCAGATAGCATAAAGGACTTAAGACCCTGTATACGACTAGGGGCACACTGTAGGAAAACCAGACCCCGAAGGGAGAGGAGATACTCATGTCAGGGTAGAGGTACTGTCCAACTATGCCCTCATTGAAAACACCTGGTCTCTGTCTGAGCCAGTACGAAGGAAACTGAGGCCATGTCTACACTTACCGGGAATCAACGCTGCTGTGATCGATGCAGCAGGGATCGATTTAGCAGGTATAGCAAAGACACGCTAAATCGACCGCAAAGTGTGCTCTCTGGTCGATTCCAGTACTCCACTGGATCAAGAAGATTAAGGAGAGTCAACGGGAGAGCATCTCTTGTCGATGCAGTGCTATGCAGACACCGCAGTAAGTCGACCTAAGCTATGTTGATTCCAGCTACATTATTCACGTAGCTTGAATAGCATAACTAAGGTCGACATACTGCAGTAGTGTAGACAAGGCCTTAGTATATCCGACAATGGTTTAATTATGGGAACTCCATAGCTTCAAGGGTCTGAGATATAGCCAGTCTAATACTGCTCTGTGAAACCTTTTCTGCTGTCCATCAGCAGAGCCCCACACTGTCTACAAGAACTTTTTTAAAACACAAGTATCGTATTAGCTTACTAGTGTTTTGGAAGTAATAAAAGTTTTGTGGAGGGGAAAGGTTATATTGTTCTCATTAGTCTATCTACACTAGTCATTTACCCAGCCTCTTTGTATTCCATTTTTTACCCCTTGTTGAAACAGACCAACTCATGCCAGACTACTCACCTTCTTTACTGTCTACTTGTTTTTTTTAAAATCACCATACCCTCAAAACTACTATAGTTAAAGCGATTTACTAAGATGTACAGTTTCCCCATGGGTACCACATTCAGTTTAGTACTAACCTACCCTCTAGAGACACCGTTAGCGCCTTCTTAGAGCCTGAGGACTATTATCCAGAAATGGTGCTCTTTTCCAGAGGCACATGAGTCAGGGTCATGGTGAAGGAGCCATGGTGTTTTGCACTCCAGTATGTAAGAAGCTATACCAGGAAAAAAACAAAAACAAAAAAAACTAGTTTGCCTGAAATGTAAAGTCAGTAGACTACACAAAAACCATGTAAAAAAAGAGAGTGTCAATACAAACTGACCTTTCTATTCTTCCAATTTAAACCAGTTTCAGAAAGATATACAAGTGATAAGTACCTACGTAGATGCATCTGGCAGTACACATCAACTGTACGTGCAGTGTAGTGGCAACTGGCTTGTTTATTTTTTTACTTGCTCAAAACAAAAACTCCCTTAGAATCTAAGGGAATTAAGCACCAGTATCTTGCTTTCTTATAAATCACTGAAGATTAGCC